TTTTTCCTCAGGTCAGGTCAGCCGTCACACATAGTGACCCTCAGCTACAGATGACCAACCAGTGTGTTTGGTTAAAATTTAAAAGCCTAACAATGAACTGGGAGTGTTCCAATTTATTGTTGGTCCTTATGATCTTCTGTGATTTACACACTTTGTAAGCTGCTGGGATTACAGTGTCTGTCCCTGGTGTGCGACCTGGAGTCACAAGGATTGATTCTCTCAGGAGCTCTGAGCCTAGCCAGCCACGGAGACATGGACTACTCGGGTCATCTGGTTAGAAAACTGTATAATAATGTAAAGGGTCATTGTCCTATTCGATAGTAAAGTTTCCTGTTTCAGTACTAGGGAAAGCCGACCCGTTTCCAGAAGTTGCCCTAAGACATTTCCTCTTATTCGGGAGACTGAGTACCTGTTCTCTCCTGCTGCTTTTGACCTTTCAGTCCTGGAATTGTTCTTTTTCTTCTAGCATTGATTCATATGTAGGTTGCTAATAGATTTTTTTTTTGATTAGTCTTAGTAATAAAAAAAAAGCTTTAAAAAATGAAATGAAATGAGCTTTTTCTAATGCTGGTTTATTTTCCATGAAGGATGTTTGTGAATTCAGTACTGCCTGGAGCCAGGCTAGGGGCTCAGCGAGGCTGACCGGAATTTCCCCAGAGAGCTCTCCTCTGTCCAGCCAGGCCTTTTAGCTACGGCAGGTCATTTCCCCAAATGACGTGACTCAAGTCTAAGATCATAGTTGTTACATTGAGATTAAGGCAAAGTGATTATATCTTGAAGTGTGCTGATTAGGAAAGTGATTAGAAAATGAATTTCACTAATTATAATTATAAGCAAGAAGAGATTGTACTCAATCAACTTTGTGCATTACGGAATTTAATTATGAGACTAACTGTTAACTATTTAAAAAAATTCTTCTTAGTTTCTTTCTTAAATATATACCAGTCTTGTGTTTCCTTCCTAATTACAAAACACTGTTCTTCCATGTTTCCAAAGGAAAAGCATCTTCTAACCATAAAATAGATGTAGGACTCTGAGTTATAAGAACTGCAAGCGCAAAAGGCTGATTCTGCGTAGTGCACTTTAGGAAAATGGGTTTGAGGCTTTTTGTGTGTGTTATTGTTGTACTTTGCAGACCCACAGTTAAAACTATAATGCCATGATCCCAGTAGTATTCTACATATTTTTTAAGCGAGCCTTAAGCTGTTAATTTGGCTGTCTCATTCTTAGTAAGGAAAAAAACCCATATTTGGGGCTCTCCAAATGGAGAAAGACCCTGACCTTTATTTCACAGAATTGGATGTGTGTTTGAGTCTCCTTTATATGTCTGACCAAATCACCCTACCAGACTCTACCTTGGATGAGAGCAGGAACCATGACTATTTTATTCACCTGTGTGTAGCCACGGTGAAGCCTCCTGAGTTAGCTATTCAATAAAAGAATGCAGAATGTTGAATGAATCAATCAAAGACTTGAATAGCTCTGGCTACAGGGAAATCATGACTGTTCAAGGAAGCCCAGCCGATCCTCTGGTAAGTCCGACGGTTCAGAGTTCTCTTATAGCGATTGGACTGTCTGTCATCTCTCCCCACTCATTTTCCCACTTTAGCTCCTTTGGCCTGTAGAGCTGCTCTGCCACATGACAAACCTTTAAATACTTGAGTTGACCCTCACGCTCGCATCCCTCCATCTGGCCTCTGAGCTTTGCTTCTGAGACTAGTATCCCTAGTTTCACAACGGACTTAGGTCTGAGCTCCCCTCATGCTCTCACACGCTCATTTCTGAGCATGCTCCTCATGAGCACCTTTGCATAGTACCCAGGGTGGGTTGGGAAAGCCTGACCTTCAGGGGATATTAACGATGCATTCTAGAGTCTATTTATGCCACTTGTGAGGAAAGTACGTTTTTATGTTTTTGAGGATTTTTTTAAGTATTTCAGTGAGAACTTCTATTTTAGTTTTAACAAAACCCTGCCTTAATAGGAGGCAAATTAAATGGGAGATAGTTATTATCTAGGTGATAGGTTTAGCCAATAAGGGTTCATTCGTTTTGTCTTGTTTCTAAGTTGACTTATTTGGATAAGTAAATTATTAAGATAATTTGACACTTTGTGAAGCTTAAACCTGGAGATTTAGAAGGAAGGTCCATTCCTTGGATGATCTTTTTTTGTTTTTTAATTTTATTGATTTTTTACAGAGAGGAAGGGAGAGGGATAGAGAGTTAGAAACATCGATCAGCTGCCTCCTGCACACCCCCCACTGGGTGGTGTGCCCGCAACCAAGGTACATACCCTTGACCAGAATCGAACCTGGGACCTTTCAGTCCACAGGCTGACGCTCTATTCACTGAGCCAAACTGGTTAGGGCCTGCCTGGATGATCTTTGTTGGGACTGTTTCTTTCACGGCAGCCAAGCCAATGATTGGGACCCAGTCTGATTCTAGGAACTAAGATTTCCCTTTATGGCTGTTGATAGTTAAGGCAGAACTTTGAAGATTTTGTAAGGCTGCTTCTAAATAAGCATTTACTATCTATCTATTTTCACATAGGGCTAAAGGTACAATTATTAAAAATAATTTGATTTTCATGAACTTTGGATATTTACTGAAGGCAATAAAAAATCAAACTATTAATGTGGGAGATGCAAGCACATGTATACACAAACATGTTGCAATTTCCATTAGAAATAATCTGTTAGGGAGGCAGTATCTTACATTTGGGCAATTGAGAAATAAAATTGTAAAAGAAAACAAGTTTTCAATTATTTTTAAAAAACTTTTCAGTTATTTGAATCCTTTGAGATTACAGTCAGTTTCCAATTGTTGATGGAGGTGGGAGAGATGGAAAGAGGGGAAAGCCAGGGAGGAAGCTGGTAGCTGAAAGTAGGAAGGGAAAAAGAGAAAGGGGGATAGGAAGGGGAGGGGCCAGGCAGGTGGAATGTCTCAGAAATTCTAAGTAGCCACAGGGTCCTTAAACTGTTTGCTTACATGAACTTTTAGGATA